CAAATAAAGGATCCAATTTGGGAAAGTCATATTCCTGGTCATAATGCTGGTGAGTTACCGCCGCTCTGATATCCAAATGTTATTTCCGGGTGTATGAAATAACACAAAAAACATTCTGGGCTAATAATGTAAGAAATAACACACAAAAAAACAACATACTGCAAAGTTGCTTAAGAGCTAGAAACGGAGCTGCGATGTCTGTCGGCGCCATCTTGCCATCTTGCTTGATAATTGATGTGATATCAACAGAGAGGTATATTTTCTTGGTGATTTCAATCTTGACTGGCTTTCATCAAGCTGCCCACTCAAGAAAAAGCTTCAAACTGTAACCAGTGCCTGCTACCTGGTTCAGGTTATCAGTCAACCTACCAGGGTAGTTACAAACAGCAAAGGAATGAAAACATCAACATGTATTGATCACATCTTTACTAATGCTGTAGAAATTTGCTTTAAAGCAGTATCCAGATCGATCGGATGTATTGATCACAATATAGTAGCTATATATAGGAAAACCAAAGTTCCAATTGCTGGGCCTAATATAGTGTATAAGAGGTCATACAATAAGTTTTGTAGTGATTCTTATGTTGATAATGTAAAGAATATTTGCTTGTCTGTGTTGGGCAAAAATAGTAAAACCCCATTTACTGGCTCAAATAGCCAACCAATCAGCCTGTTACCAAACCTTAGTCAACTTTTGGAAAAAATTGTGTTTGACCAGATACAATGCTATTTTACAGTAAACAAATTGACAACAGACTTTCAGCACGCTTATAGTGAAGGACATTCAACAAGCACTGTACTTACACAAATAACTGATTATTGGCTGAGAGAAATTGATAATAGAAGACTTCAGTGATTCTTTTGAAATTATCTATCATAGTCTGCTGCTGGAAAAACTTGTGTTATGGCTTTACACCCCCTGCTATATTGTGGATAAAGAGTTACCTGTCTAATAGAACACAGAAGATGTTCTTTAATGGAAGCCTCTCCAACATAATCCAGGTAGAATCCGGAATTCCCATTACGTTTTACAATCTTTACTAATGACATGCCACTGGCTTGGAGTAAAGCCATTGTGTCTATGTATGCGGATGACTCAACACTATACACGTCAGCTACTACAGCGACTGAAATGACTGCAACACATAACAAAGAGCTGCAGTTAGTTTCAGAATGTTTGGCAAGGAATAAGTTAGTCCTACATTTTTCAAAAAATAAAAGCATTATATTTGGGACAAATCATTCACTAAACCCTAAACCTCAACTAAATCTTGTGATGAATAATGTTGAAATTGGGCAATTTGAGGTGACTAAACTGCTTGGAGTAACCCCGGAATGTAAACTGTCATGGTCAAAACGTGTTTATACAACAGTATCTAAGAGGGGGAGAAGTCTGTCCATAATAAAGCGCTGCTCTGCCTTCTTAACAACACTATCAACAAGGCTGGTCCTACAGGCCCTAGTTTTGTCGCAGCTGGACTACTGTTCAGTCATGTGGTCAGGTGCCACAAAGAGGGAATTAGGAAAATTACAATTGGCTCAGAACAGGGCAGCATGACTGGCCCTTAAATGTACATGGAGAGCTAACATTAATAATATGCATGTCAATCTCACATGGCTCAAAGCGGAGGAGAGATTGACTTCATCACTACTTGTTTTTGTAAGAAGTGTTGACAATAATATAATCTGCCATTTAGCAGATGCTTTTATCCAAAGCGACTTACAGTCATGCGTGCATACATTTTTACGTATGGGTGGTCCCGGGGATTCAAACCCACTACCCTGGCGTTACAAGCATCATGCTCTACCAATTGAGCTACAGAGGACCACAAGCTGTTTAAACTACTAGCACACAGCTTGGACACCCATGCATACCCCACAAGACATGCCACCAGAGGTCTCTTCACAATCCCCAAGTCCAGAACAGACTATGGTAGGCGAACAATACTACATAGAGCAATGACTACATGGAACTCTATTCCACATCAGCTAACTGATGCAAGTAGTAGAATAACATTTTCAAACACATATAAAAATACTCCTTATGGACCAACGGGTACTGTGAGAAACACACAAACGCTACCACATGCACACTACACACACGTACATTGTAATATTGTTGTGTGGTGGTATTCTACATTTTGTATTGCAGATATGTAGTGGTGTAATAATGTTATATGATGTACTGTTTCTCTTTTGTTTTATGTGTGATGTACGGGCCTTAATGTGTTTGGACCCCAGGAAGACTAGCTGCTGCCTTGGCAACAGCTAATGGGGATCTGTAATAAATATAAATACACACAGTTAACATATATGAACCCTGGTGGCAATAAAACATTTAAAGGAATCACATATCTGATTTGAGAAGTGACAAATGCTATGATGCTGCTACTCCAAGAGGGTCGTTCCGTGAAATAATCTCTTTTGGGTAGTGTAACTTGGTGATTTTTGTCACGCCCTGGCTCTAGGGACTCTCTTAAGTTGAGCCAGGGTGTGTAGAGTTTATGTTTTGTGCTCGTTGTGTCTAGTCTAGTTTTGTATATCTATGTTGGCCAGAGTGGTTCTCAATCAGAGGCAACGAGTATCAGCTGTTGCTGGTTGTCTCTGATTGGGAACCATATTTAGTCAGGTGGTTTTCCCACAGTGTTTGTGGGATCTTGTTCCGTGTTGGTTTGTGTTTTGCACCTGTGGACGTCACGTATCGATTTGTTGTTTTGTTCGTGTATCATTTAATAAATAAGTATGTTCACCTTCCACGCTGCGCCTTAGTCCTCTATATCCGACGATCGTGACAGAAGATCCCACCAATACAGGACCAAGCAGCGTGCCCAGGCAGGAGAGGAGAAGCGGCGCCAACCGGGCAGTCGTCGGACAGGCGAGGGGCACCCCCAATACATTTTTAGGGGGGGGGCATATGGCAGGGACGGCGGGGCCACTGGAGGCAGATAAGGGGTGAGTTGGTGGACGAGGAGAGAAGGCCACCGGGTTACGGGAGCCATTGGTGTATAGAGGGAAGGAAAATGTAGAGGCACGGCGAGAGGTACTGAAGTGTGTTGCCAGTCCGGTCCGGCCCGTTCCTGATCCCCGTGTAAGGCCAGTGGTGTGTGTTCCCAGTACGGTCCGGCCTGTTCCTGTCCATCGCGCCAAGCCTATGGTGCGCGTCGCTAGCCCGGCCCGGCCTGTTCGTGCCCCTCGCACCAAGCCTATGGTGCGCGTCGCCAGCCCGGCCTGGCCTGTTCCTGCCTCCCGCACCAAGCCAATGGTGCGCGTCGCCAGCCCTGCCCGGCCCGTTCCTGCTCCCCGCACCAAACCTGTGGTGCGCGTCGCCAGCCCGGTCCGGACTGTTCCTGCTCCCCGCACCAAGCTAGTGGTGCGCGTCGCCAGCCCGGTCCGGCCTGTTCCTGCTCCCCGCACCAAGCTAGTGGTGCGCGTCGCCAGCCCGGCCCGGCCCGGCCTGTTCCTGCTCCCCGCACCAAGCCAATGGTGCGCGTCGCCAGCCTGGTCCGGCCTGTTCCTGCTCCCCGCACCAAGCCTGTGGTGCGCATCGCCAGCCCGTGCCCGTTTCACCGGTGCCTGGTCAGGTACCGGTCAGCTGCTCCACACCGGAGCCTGAGCAATCCGCTCCACCGAAGTCCAGTCCAGCTCCTGCCAGTGGGGCTAGACCAGACCAGGGGCACTACAGGGGGGTTAGTAGAGGGTGGTGGTCAAGCCCGGAGCCGGAACCACCTCCGAGGAGGAATGCCCACCCAGCCCTCCCCTGTTCGGTGATGTTTAGGCGCGGTCGCAGTCCGCGCCTTTAGGGGGGGGTACTGTCACGCCCTGGCTCTAGGGCCTCTTTTAAGTTGAGCCAGGGTGTGTAGAGTTTATGTTTTGTGCTCGTTGTGTCTAGTCTAGTTTTGTATATCTATGTTGGCCAGAGTGGTTCTCAGTCAGAGGCAACGAGTATCAGCTGTTGCTGGTTGTCTCTGATTGGGAACCATATTTAGTCAGATGGTTTTCCCACAGTGTTTGTGGGATCTTGTTCCGTGTTGGTTTGTGTTTTGCACCTGTGGACGTCACGTATCGATTTGTTGTTTTGTTCGTGTATCATTTAATAAATAAGTATGTTCACCTTCCACGCTGCGCCTTGGTCCTCTATATCCGACGATCGTGACAATTTTTTTTATTTATTTCACCTAATTTTAACACTATGTCATAAAGAGCACATGTTCAAATTAACTTTAAAAACATTTTCCCACCTCTACCAAAAATACCAAAACAATACTATGGTAAGTGCCTTTTAAGTGTCAAATACCGTAACAGGGTTGACCGTAACAGGGTTGACCATAACAGGGTTGACGATTTCATCTTAAATCAGCCATAAATCCCCTTGTGACAGAGGGAATGAAAGCTTGTTGTGTGCAACAGGGAGGGGCAATTGAATGCAAACTTCACAACAACAACAATAAAGTGTTAAAAAAAAAGATATCCTGTCTATGGGTAACAGGGTTGACGTGTTATATTGGACCCACTCTGTTCTTCACCACAAAACTGGCCAGAAAGAGTAGAACCAGCTCACCTGCTCTTACACTGTGATTTGACTATTAGATGTTTAATTATTTAAAAAGGAATAGTTTCACCATATTAAAGCAAGAGTTCATTTCAGGTAACAGGGTTGATCTTAAAATAAAGGACAGGTTTATTTAAAACCTGAAAATGAATCATTAATCACATGAATAAAGAAACATCTTCAGAAATGACTTCGTCAAAGTAATAGAATAACTAGGGCTTTACAATGATGGTAAACATTTGGAAACATTTAAACATTAAGTGGGTTAAAATCTTCCTAGAAGTCACAGAGGGTGACAGAGGCACATGTCAAAATGCTGCATTTTGGCACTTTAGCAAGTCTTTAATCATATAAAAAATCTGATTGAATTCTCCATATGGTCTATATTAAAGAAAATGTAATGCCCCGGGCCATTACCAGTGGAGGTTTTACTGGTGGGGGCCTCAGTCACAGTCGCCAATGTTGTGGACTCAACACACAGGGAATTACCAGTGGCATGCACCCACTCTGATATCTTTGTCCCGTTGGATAAGGTCCAGTGAACATATATCAGCCCTGTAGGTAATCCAAACAACAGTAATCACGTGTTTCTGAATTACATGTAAATACTGGCAAATGGATAGTGCTGTTTCTAAACAGGTCAATTTTTATTGATAAGAATTGATCATTGATCATTATAATCATCATAATTATTATCATTAATCATTGGTCTTGTTTATCATAGAAATATGTATTTTTAACAAAGTAAATTAAACAGTAGCTTACCTGGACAGTGTGAGATTCTCTTGCTGATTGCAACACTGCTGATGTTGTTTCTGACGGTACAGGTGAGATTTCCAGACAGGCCTTTCTTCAGAGTGATGGTGTTTGTCTCATCACCAGGGGAGGTCTCAGTGTCTCTCAGTGTCTGTCCATCCAGAGTCCAGCTGTACTGGGGACCGTCCCCCTCAGAGGAGCAGGACACCCTCATCTCTCCATGGGACAGACACTCAGAGGACAGTTGAGGAGAGGACACTGGAGCTGTGGGGGAAGAAGGATATGTAACTGTAGTAAGAGGTCAAAGCACATTAGAACACAACACCAGCCATTGTTCTTGAAAGCCACAGAAGCTACTGTAGTCAACAGGAGGAGCAGATTCATGATACACAATGACTGCATTTCAAATAACCAACAGATAATTTAATGTTGATGGATATGGTTATGACTCTATGTACCAACTACAGTAGCCTATGAAACAAAAATGACTCCTTGATAACACATAAAATGAATTTCTCATTATTTGGATTATTAGGTAGTCACATATTTTTTGTTTAGCCAAAGAGAAATATGTAGAGCTTGTCAAAGTTATAATTTGTAATAATGATTTGACAACATTAACTTTATAAAGAGTTAGTTAATTACCTTCGATGAACAGTTGTAGTCCACTGGTCCAGATGAATGTCCCGTTTGTATGATAAGTTTCTAGCAGGTATTTACCAGAATCATTCCGTCTTGTGTTATTTAACCTAAATGTCCCATTGTTTGTAAAGAAGTGTGTTCTGTCTTTAATGGTGATGTCTGTTATTACCAGTATGTAATTCTTCCTTTTGAGTATCTCTGTTCTAGTACCAGTTTGGTTTTTCCAAAATATGAGTTCATCATTTCCCTTGGCATCAGTGATCAGCTGGAGATAGACAGTTCCTCCCAGAGCTCCATAACACGGAGATCTGTTCTGTCTAGCATTACAGGAAGTCTCCAAGCCTGAAGATCAAGAAGAAAAATATACACGGTAGTGACTATCACTGTTCTAACCCATGTCAAGTCATGTATTATTTTTCAGATGAGGATACAAGCGACTAACAGTATAACCAAACAACAGCATCAACGTAATAATGAACATAAGTCAGTGATCATTATCATGGGACAGTGAGTAAAGAGACAACTGTCTTCTTAAGTGTTCTGAATTTGTCTATCATCATCCGTCATTTCTGCTACATGATATACAAGACTCCTTATATTATAATATGCATAAAAGAAGAGGGAAGCCAACACATATAAAGTTGTTTCTTACCATGAGACACTCCTGCTGAGATCACTAACAGTCCTAAAACAGCCTCCATATCTCTTTACAATGCAGGGTCTCAATTTATCAAATGAACCTTCAGTACTTCAACAAAGTCCTCTATTTTCTATTCAGAGCTGAATTTCCATAACCTGGCAATGTTTATGGCATAAACAAAACCAATGCAAGAATAGTATGAGAGACAGCTGTTCTTGCCACTCAGAATAATTCACCCAGTTTGTGACAAGCAAAATAAGAAGTGTAATTTTGACCCTATTCATAGGTTCTGACTCAGAGGAAGGAGGAAGGGCCTCGTCAAAGTTTCAATTCTTCATGATATAAACAGCCAGGCTGGCTACAGAGTATAATAGAGTATGTGATAGGTGACACTACTTTTGAGTGTGAAGAGATGTTGGCGCCTGAGAAAGTAACACCTCCTTCGTTGTGTCAGGGCAGTGGTCAGCTCTCACACACTGCTGTCCAACACTGACATGAAGACACTACCTTCTTCTTCACAATTAGTAGGCTCTTTCACTCCATTTTAGGTTGTGATAATTTGAAAAAGAAATGAACAAGTGAGAGAGAGATAGAAATACAGGAATTTGAGAGAAGAGGAGAGGTGAGAGAAATAAGAAGTGAAACAGAGAGGACCAGCAGATCAAAGTACAATGTTTCCCTAATAGTGGTTTGTGACTCTCTGGTGTCTTCGACCGGCTGCAACTGATTCCTTTTGGGTTGAAGCTGTTTGCTAGACACAATAACATGTTGTAGATGGAAATGGTTAGTATGGCTGTATGTTGAGACTTTAAAGGCAAAAAAACATGTTCAATCAACAACAGAAGGACTCACTACGGCCAGTGTATACAGTTTAGTTGATGGGTTGTTCATGTACATTTCAAGTACTTCACCGTTGGGATGGTAATGGCCAGGTGATGAGCGGTGCCTGGTTTCCTCCAGACGTGACGCTTGGCAATCAGGCCGAAGAGTTCAATCTTGGTTTCACCAGACCAGAGAATCTTGTTTCTGGTTTGGTGCGAGGAGCAGGTACGGGCCATACAGGACTGGAGACATGCACCACTGGTTTGGTGCGGGGGGCAGGTACGGGGCATACCGGGCTGGCGACACGCACCACTGGTTTGGTGCGAGGAGCAGGTACGGGCCGTACAGGACTGGAGACACGCACCACTAGTTTGGTGCGGGGAGCAGGTACGGGGCGCATCGGGCTGGCGACACGCACCACTGGTTTGGTGCGAGGAGCAGGTACGGGCCGTACAGGACTGGAGACACGCACCACTGGTTTGGGGCGAGGAGCAGGCACAACCCGTCCTGGCTGAATGCTCATTTTAGCCCGGTAAGAGCGGGGCGCGGGCACCAAGCGCACCGGGCTGTGAATGCGCACTGGAGATACAGTGTGTATCACAGCTTAACAGGGTGCCTGTATGGTCCCACGCTCCTTAACACGAGTGCGGGAGTTGGCTCTACTCTGACACCTGGCTCCGCCAGCCTCTGCTCTAAGGACTCTGTCGTAGCCGGCCGCGACCGGGAGACCCATGGGGCGGCGCACAATTAGCCAGCGTCGTCCAGGGTAGGGGAGGGAATGGCCGGCAGGGATGTAGCTCAGTTGGTAGAGCATGGAGTTTGCAACGCCAGGGTTGTGGGTTCCATTCCCACGGGGGGCCAGTATGAAAATCTATGCACTCACTTAACTGTAAGTCGCTCTGGATAAGAGCGTCTGCTAAATGACTAAAAATGTAAATGTAAGGACTGCGCTCTCTCAGCTCCTCCTGTTGCCTAGCCAACTCCTCTCTCTGTGCATCCACTGACTCTTTCTCCCTGTGGGCCTCCTGCAGCGCCTCCTTCTGAAGGGACAGCTCCTGCTCCCTCTTCTCTATCAGCCCCCGTAAGGTGGTGGTCTCCTCTCTCAGAGTGCTGAGCTGCAGGTCTTTCAGGGCTTCCTGCTGCTTCGCCCACCACCCCATGTGTCCCCCCCAACATTTTCTTGGGGCTGCCTCTCGGGCTTCCTTAGCGGTCGGCACCATCGGCGTTGCCGTTGATCCACTCCTGCCTGGGCTTCTTCCTTCGCCCAGGGTCCTTTACCGGCTAATATCTCCTCCCATGTCCAAAATGTCTTCCCCACCTGTGTCCAGGGTGTCTGCTCCTCCTGGCCACGCTGCTTGGTCCGTTGGAGGTGGGATCTTCTGTCACGTTCGTTGAGTAAAGGATCGGACCAAGGTGCAGCGTGGTATGCGTACATAGTCGTTTATTATATAAATACAGACAAAATAACAAAATCCAACAGAACGTGAAGTTCAAGAGGCTACACATATAAAAAGCCAAACAGAAACAAGATCCCACAACATAGGTAGGCAAAATGGCTACCTAAGTATGATCCCCAATCAGAGACAACGATCGAGGGCGTAAATCAACCACACGATCGAGTGTGCAAAGCTGTCGTCAAGGCAAAGGGTGGCTACTTTCAAGAATCTCAAATCTCAAATATATATATTTTTTTGTTTACTACATGATTCCATATGTGTTATTTCATAGTTTTGATGTCTTCACTATTGTTCTACAATGTAGAAAATAGTAAAAATTAAGAAAAACCCTTGAATGAGTAGGTGTGTCCAAACTTTGTCTGGTACTGTATATTTATTTTTGCTCAGAAAACTTGGGGGCAAAATAAAATCACCAACAGGCCAAATTTGGCCCGCTGGCTGCTGACCGCTGCAGCAATTTTTTGTTACCCTTCCCCAGATCTGTACCTTGACACAATCCTGTCTCGGAGCTCTACTGACAATTATTTTGACCTCAGGGCTTGGTTTTTGCGCTGAGATTCACTGTCAACTGTGGGACCTTATACAACGAGGGAAAAAAAGTATTTGATCCCCTGATGATTTTGTACGTTTGCCCACTGACAAATAAATGATCAGTCTATAATTTTAATGGTAGGTTTATTTGAACACTGAGAGACAGAATAACAACAACAACAATCCAGAAAAACTAATCTCAAAAATGTTATAAATTGATTTACATTTAAATGAAGGAAATAAGTATTTGACCCCCTCTCAATCAGAAAGATTTCTGGCTCCCAGGTGTCTTTTATACAGGTAATGAGCTGAGATTAGGAGCACACTCTTAAAGGTAGTGCTCCTAATCTCAGTTTGTTACCTGTCTAAAAGACACCTGTCCACAGAAGCAATCAATCAATCAGATTCCAAACACTCCACCATGGCCAAGACCAAAGAGCTCTCCAAGGATGTCAGGGACAAGATTGTAGACCTACACAAGGCTGGAATGGGCTACAAGACCATCGCCAAGCAACTTGGTAAGAAGGTGACAACAGTTGGTGCGATTATTCGCAAATGGAAGAAACACAAAAGAACTGTCAATCTCCCTCGGCCTGGGGCTCTATGCAAGATCTCACCTTGTGGAGCTGCAATGATCATGAGAACGGTGAGGAATCAGCACAGAACTAAACGGGAGGATCTTGTCAATGAACTCAAGGCAGCTGGGACCAAAGTCACCAAGAAAACAATTGGTAACACACTACGCCGTGAAGGACTGAAATCCTGGAGCGCCCGCAAGGTCGCCCTGCTCAAGAAAGCACATATAAAGGGCCATCTGAAGTTTGCCAATGAACATCTGAATGATTCAGAGGAGAACTGGGTGAAAGTGTTGTGGTCAGATGAGATCAAAATCGAGCTCTTTGGCATCAACTCAACTCGCCGTGTTTGGAGGAGGAGGAATGCTGACTATGACCCCAAGAACACCATCCCCACCGTCAAACATGGAGGTGGAAACATTATGCTTTGGGGGTATTTTTCTGCTAAGGGTACAGGACAACTTCACCACATCAAAGGGACGATGGACGGGGCCATGTACCGTCAAATCTTGGGTGAGAACCTCCTTCCCTCAGCCAGGGCATTGAAAATGGGTCGTGAATGGGTATTCCAGCATGACAATGACCCAAAACACACGGCCAAGGCAACAAAGGAGTGGCTCGAGAAGAAGCACATTAAGGTCCTGGAGTGGCCTAGCCAGTCTCCAGACCTTAATCCCATATAAAATGTGTGGAGGGAGCTGAAGGTTCGAGTTGCCAAATGTCAGCCTCGAAACCTTAATGACTTGGAGAAGATCTGCAAAGAGGAGTGGGTCAAAATCCCTCCTGAGATGTGTGCAAACCTGGTGGCCAACTACAAGAAACATCTGACCTCTGTGATTGCCAACAAGGGTTTTGCCACCAAGTACTAAGTCATGTTTTGCAGAGGTGTCAAATACTTATTTCCCTCATTAAAATGCAAATAGATTCATAACATTTTTGACATGCGTTTTTCCTGATTTTTGTTGTTGTTATTCTGTCACTTTTCAAATAAACCTACCATTAAAATGATAGACTGATCATGTCTTTGTCAGTGGGCAAACGTACAAAATCAGCAGGGGATCAAATACTTTTTTCCCTCACTGTATAGGCAGGTGTGTGCCTTTCCAAATCATGTCCAATCAAGTTGTAGGAACATCTCAAGGATGATCAATGGAAACAGGATGCACCTGAGCTCAATTTCGAGTATTATAGCAAAGGGTCTGAATACTTATGTAAATAAGGTATTTCTGTTTTTTATAAAATTTGCAAAAAGGTCTAAAACCTGTTTTCGCTTTGTCATTATGGGGTATTGTGTGTAGATTGATGCGGGGAAACAAATATTTTATCCATTTTAGAATAAGGCTGTAACGTAACAAAATGTAGAAAAAGGGAATGGTTCTGAATACTTTCCGAATGCACTGTATATGAAATGTATTAATTACACTGTTAGAATGTTGCAGTCAAAATGACTGCTCATAAGCTTGAAGGGGGGTTATAGTATTTAAAAAAATTGTGCAATCAAGTGCGCACATAGGAGGTTACCATTAGACAGTCCTGCTGACATCATCAGAAGTCCAAACACCACAATCAGTAGGTTCACTATTGAAGTTCCAAACTCGGATTACAAACAAAATCAACCTGCCACATCGTGTGACTAGGATGTTTGAGCAAAACACGTAATAGATTGTGTCACTTCAGGGAGGGGAAAGGAAGTGTTTGAACACAGTCTTGATCTCACTTCTTCATTTCACAGACCAATGCATAAACATTTTGTATAGAATAAGGCACTAAATAAAACAAAGGCACTCGACAAACCATTTCTGTATGGACCTTGTTTTGTGCACGGGGTCATTGTCATGCTGAAATAGGAAAGGGTCT